TCGTAACCTCATTCAACCGGCGATAGTCGACGCAAAATCTTGTTGAGCCGTCTTTCTTTCTGACTAGGACGATGGGAGATGCCCATGGACTTACTGAAGGCTCGATGACATCGCTTTCTTCATATCTTTTAACAGTGTTCGCACCTCTTCCTGTTTAGCAAACGGTAGACGTCTTGGATGTTGCTTGATCGGGGGATGATCGCCGGTATCTATTCTATGTTGTGTCAAACTAGTTCGACCCACGTCAGAAGACGAGCGGGAGAAAACAACTTGAAGATCTTTAATGACGCGATCGGCAGCATTCCTTCTCTTATCGTTTAATTGCGCATTCTGCAATAACTCCGATGTAATTCTCTCTGAGGACACGGATTCTTGGATGTTACTCTTTCTTTCAACGGTGGTTACTACTGGAGTACATGCTGCAACCACTTCACCTTTCTTAATAATTCTCTCCCTTCTCAGTTACATTGGCGACTCTCACCGGGATAACCGTTCTGGATAGGTCGACGAGTGTTGAGGCTACTAGTACTCCTTTTTTGGGCTATTATACAGTTATTGGGATATTCTATGATGCCGTAGCGGAAATTTCTGTTTTCGGCTATGGATCCAGGAAGTAAAATTTCTGTTCTTGCCGGTATTGTGATATTGTCTTGTGCTATGATTTTATGGACAGATTTAACTTCATCATTGACTCCAAATAACGCTATGTCCTCAGATGTAGAATGCAATTCGTTATTTTTAAAGTCCAAGGAAAAATTGTATTTCCTTAGAAAGTCCAATCCGAGTATGCAAGAATCAGTGATCTCTGCTACATATGCCGTGTGATGGTAAGCGGCACTTCCAAACGTGATGTTAGCATTTACTTTTCCATCGATGTTGATCTTCTCACCGGACACAGTCTGTAGGGTAACGCAGGGCGGCGTCCAGATAAGTTTGCTTCCCAGTTGTTGAGCCAAATCTTTTCGGATGATGGTAACGTTGGCTCCTGTATCTATCGTCATATTGCAGGGAACTCCATTAATATGTCCTATTATGAAAAGTCCATTACTGCCGCCTCTCTCACTGCAGAAATCTGAAGCGCTTTAAAAACTGGGGCTTTTCATGATCTGGCAACCTCCGCCCCGCGAGATGGCCACTAATTAGTTTCCCTGCTGTTTGTTAGGAGCGGTCTTAGCATCCGTGCCCTGGGGTGTTCTGCAGTTTCGTCGGATGTGTCCTTCAGCACCGCAGTTCCAGCACTTTACGGTCGTTTTCTTGTCACCAATATTCTGTCTCAAGGCGTTCAGTTGTCTAGTTAAATCGTCTAGACGAGCAGTGACTTGATCCCCTGGCTCCTGGACTTGAGCAGCTCTGACTGGATGGCGGTCTCGACGGGTGGCTTGCTGGGCTGCCTCAAATTTCATGGCATACACTAAAGCGCTTTTCAGATCTTTAACATCCGCCATTCGCAGTGCTTTCTGTATTTCAGGGTCCCGGATGCCATCGATGAAATATTGCAGGGACAGGATTTCCCTTGTTTCTGTCGGGCACTCCGAAAAGGCGTGATGTGACAGCCTTTCAACATCCGTGGCGAGCTCCTGAAGCGTTTCGGTGAGCTTCTGTTGACGAGATTTTAATTGGAGCCTGCTGTAGTCTTTTAAACATTTCTCGCCGAAGCGCAGCTCCAAAGCGCCGGATAGAGCTTCGAAATCTAGCCTTTGATTTTCGGGAAGCGTCTGCAGGATATCCGCTGCGTCTGCTCTCAGAGAAGCGGCGAGATGACAGGCCTTAGCTTGGGAATCCCATCCATTCGCATCCGCAACGATAGAAAATTGTGTCCTATACACCTGCCAGGAGGTCTTCCCATCATATGTAGATAGTTTCAGAACGGAACGAGCAGGCATCGATAAAAATTTGAAACCTTCCGGAATTGCTACCTGCCGTCGCTATGAATTTCTTTAAATCATCAACTTCTTTGGTGACGGCGCAGAAACTCTATCATTAATTTGTTGTTCGACGGCAGAAACTCTCTCTTTTATTTCTTCTTTTACCGAAGAAACCTTTTCTTCAAAGTTTCCAACTTTATTCTCAACTGCGTCTATTCAATTCTGCCTTCCATAACCTCGAATTTGTTTTCTATTACGCTGGTAATTTCTCTTTCATCTCTTCTTGTCTTGCTTCAATCTTTTCCTGTCTGCTTCAATCTTTTCCTGATACATTTCATCTCTGCTTTCCATTCTTCTTTAAACGAGGCAAACGCTGATAGCAGCTGTCTTAATTGCTCTTCCATCGCTCTTGTGATTGGCATTCAAATCCCACTTCTGACACCAAAAATTGTTGCGTGCGTACGGGTTCGTTATGAAACGAATGCACAAGTCCGATGAAAAATGAACAAAAATTTATTATTATCCAAAAAAAATGCTTAAATTTTCTCAAATTATCATGCAGTATTACAATATCTCACAGTAGTTTTCTTTTAACTACTCAAATGTCCAATAGAACGTAATTCAAAACAGCTAAAGAACGCTAATCCGCGAATTCGCTACAATCAACAACAGTAGTTTTCTAAACAACAACAAACTAAGCAACTACTACAAACTGAGATGTTTTCCTTCTTTTATAAGATTTTAAAATCACGCGCTAGAATTTTCCAGTATTTTCTCGAAATAAAAAAAGAGATATTTATTTATTTAATGCACGCGCTCTTGTATTTTCAATTTTCCGGCTTAGCTTTCTTTTAATATTCGTCACGCGCTGCACTGCGCGAGAAATAAAACCATTTAATTTATAATTGAACTAACATTAGCTTTTTAAATACCAAATTCGTAACACTGCCCCCTTCCCAAGGACTGCACGTCCCGGGCAGGAAGCTAAACTTACAACTGTGGCATAAATGCAGCTGAGGCATAAACATTACATCACAATATTGTTACGAATTTGGTATTTAAAAAGCTAATGTTAGTTCAATTATAAATTAAATGGTTTTATTTCTCGCGCAGTGCAGCGCGTGACGAATATTAAAAGAAAGCTAAGCCGGAAAATTGAAAATACAAGAGCGCGTGCATTAAATAAATAAATATCTCTTTTTTTATTTCGAGAAAATACTGGAAAATTCTAGCGCGTGATTTTAAAATCTTATAAAAGAAGGAAAACATCTCAGTTTGTAGTAGTTGCTTAGTTTGTTGTTGTTTAGAAAACTACTGTTGTTGATTGTAGCGAATTCGCGGATTAGCGTTCTTTAGCTGTTTTGAATTACGTTCTATTGGACATTTGAGTAGTTAAAAGAAAACTACTGTGAGATATTGTAATACTGCATGATAATTTGAGAAAATTTAAGCATTTTTGTTGTGATAATAATAAATTTTTGTTCATTTTTCATCGGACTTGTGCATTCATTTCATAACGAACCCGTACACACTCAACAATATTCATCTTTGTTTTCACGTTCATAGCATTTTTTACTACCAATGATTACAGTTCGCCAACATAATACTCAACAAGTAGCTCTTCGCGGCCAAACCTTGTTTTTAGGCAATCAACAGCTTTTGCATAGTTATCAGCAGCTATCTACAATTTTTCTGGCTCTACTGCTAAATGTCATGCATTAGATGATGTTGGTTATTTAGGATTGGCATATATATATAACATTCTCAAAAGAATCATCCACTTCTATCAAAAATACATTATGGCAATATACAAAAAGAAAACTTTATTAAAGAAAATCAGACATAAGAAATCTTACCACATTCTACCAAACCATAATAATGAAAAAAAAACTCTCTCTTCCAGATACATTTTTAACTCATTCTTTTTTACAATTTAATATCAATGTTGCCAAAATATTAAAACTTTAAATTATGCTTTATAAACAAATACTATCAGATGAGATATTGAAATGTATCGTCACAACCAATCGACACATTATTATGAAATTTACTGAACTGACTCCAAAATAGGAGCTGGTCTTTCACTTCCCCGCTGAATTTCACTAATTCTATTTTGGGGAGCTTTAATCTTGTTTTTTCTCCTGTATTTGTCCCCAACGGTTCGCTAAAATTTGAAAGGTTATCAAGACTTTCTTCGCTACGAATACTAGCTGTATTTAATGCTTCTTTATATTCTTCAATTTTCTCGTATTCAACATTAAAATCTTCAGATTTGCCATCTATTAAAGCAAGGCAAATTTTATCATCGTTATGAAATGAAATCAGCCAAATCTGTAGCAATTCGCTCTGAAGAAAAAAATTTAATTCCAATTTCGTCACGTTTTAAATTTGGTTAATTTAAATACGCTATTTGCAAATTGTTGCCTTTAGTGAAGGTTGCTCTAGCAGAAGTTCTTCTTTTAATAATATTCTCCATAATACTTAAACCAATCAAATTGAATATTAGCAAATTCACTGACCTTTACCTTTAAACATCACGTCAATACACCATCACACCACTGTCGTTGTTGCCAAGTCTACTTTCGCACATATGTGGAAGATACAACATCCTCCCACCCTGAGTTTCTCTCTAGAATTCGAAAACCTTACCGAAATACCAAGACGCAGCGACTTTGCCTCTGGGCCGGCCCTTTGTACTTCCGGTAGGAACTGGTTTTTCAGAAAAATTTCTTACTGAGTTTCACGTTAATAGACCTGAAGAGGGTTTAAGTGATCATCTATAACAATTCTTATCGTGTCGGAAAATTTCGAATGCTTAATAATATCATAAAAATTTTAATAACAATCTGTGATTTATTCTTCTGTAATAAAGCTTATGAGCTACATATGTTTTTTGATTATGCTATTTATGATCTTTTAATGATACTTTGTATATCTTGTTTATAAACGTTTATTAAAATTAGATCATTTGCAGAATTATACTATAATTTTTCCACAAAATCTTAAATGCCAATTGTAAGTCTCTAATTTTAATGAATACAGTGAGTTTCATTGATATAGAGTGGCTAAAGTTCACGAATCGGAGAGCTGATTAAAAAGAATAATGATTCTATTTCTTCTAATATTTTTCCGTCAATAACTGTTTTGAGTTAAAAAGTTTTTTTAATTTTATTGTATCCTAGAGAAATAGTGGCTGCTAATCCATTTTTTTGACAAGCCACCGACTGTTTATCGCAATTGTAATCTGAAGTGAATATTTTACGTGACTGAATTGTGGTTACTGTTGTCGGGTTCGGATCCACCTCCAAGTTTTGATTTGTACCGGTTGGTATTATAAGTAAATAATAACGGAACCAATCAGCACATACACGGGTAGTGGCGGACAAATGTGTTACAACTGGCAGTAATTTTTTTAATGCATAATGTAATTTTTCTAGACATTGACGTTGTTTTATAGAAATGTATTTATCGTTTAATTTAATTCATGTATTGAACATTACTGTAAAGACGTGCAGAATTCTTATTTATAGGCATCACCAAGTGATGGTGTAAAAATATTGTTTGTAGTTTCGAAAGGTACGTATCAAATACTTATATTCATATGAAACTGTTATTTTGCGTGAATTATTGCTATGGTTTTTAGCTGTGGATGTTAATCCAAGATGTCATTTAATAATAGTTTATCTGTCGCTAAATATATTCGATGTGTGATTGTACCTGCGGTTTCGTCTTGAAAAAATCATGCCAAAAGCCTCCCTTGTGTGGCTGAAAAATGCCGTTAGGAAAATTTGTTTTTATTCTGTATTTTTCACTTTTGTCACTAAATTACAGTTTGATAATGATTTTTATAAATACTCTGGTATAGCCAAAATTTTGTTCAAAAACGTGGGATATTTTGTGAAAGAAGGGACATTTTAAAAATTGGATAAATCAATTATAAAAGTTTCTTATTTTGTGTTGTACTTTATTTAAGAGGCTAGTTTAAAAATCCATTAACTGTAGCAAGTTCTAATATAAAAAAGAATTGCAAATCACAAATGTTCTTAAATCGAAGCATCGCATCTGTAAAAGATACACTATAATGAAGTTCATATTTTAGATTCATGAACATATTAATTTTTTTTTTTCTTTTTCTGATGTTAGGACCAGTATGAGAGATATCCTTAAAACATGTCTTTATGATAGTTAAAAATGTCATGTTCCAAATTTTTCCTTTTCTTCTCCATGCAAGATACATTTATTAATGAAAATAACTACACTGGATCTTGGCAAAGCCAAATAAATTAAGTATTTCAGATTTTTATTATCTCCTGCTTTGTCATTTGTCACTGAAATTTTCATCATTCAACCATATTTTTCTTTCATATCTTTTGTCACTGATTTTTCAACAGCATTAGATTTACCCCAACATCAGATTAGCCAAATTGTGTTATACTTTCTTCATAAAAATATAGCTGTTTTTTATATTCTTTTGAATTATAGCTACATTTATTTTCAGTTGATTCAAACCATAGACTAGAGAGGTATGAAAAACTGTATATATTACTCCTGAATGTATTCAGTGCAGATATCATAGAAATCTGTTGATTTGACATTGGAAATTTTCTACTGTAATGTACCCCCCTTTTTTTAGTTGTAACTGATTTTCCACATTCTCCTTCCTTCAATTAAAATTTTTTACCAGATTTCATCTTCCATTTCAGTTACTATAACATTTTGCTTTAAAATATCTGTTATACCATTATGTGCTCCAATATACATTTAAAAATATTAACAAAGCTTTGGAACTAATTAGTAAGGAAATGTAGAACTGAAATTGAATTTGCTCAGAAATGTTTTAGAACATTTTTGAGTGAAAAGGAAATACTATGATTACAATGAAAGGAAAATGCTAATCATAGTCTTGAATGCAAGTAAAATAGCCATCTTGTCTTGCTATTGTTGAAAGCAGTTTTACAATGTGTATTGATAAATTCACAAAATGATTTGAGTTTCTGAATTTTTCGTGATAAATATAATTTCTTTACACATTAGTAGTACATCTTTTTACCAGCTTTTCAGTGTCATGAATCTAGTTATAAGAAATCAGCTGTTCACAAATTGGTCTACTATGTTTTGTTAATTAATCACTAGTAGCATCATGGTTAAAAGAATAAGTTATGTTTTGCATTACATCCCCAGAACAATATTTGAAAACAAAGACATTTTAAATAAATTTGGGACAGTGAGAAATTGAATAATAATAATAATAATAATAATAATAACAACAATAAAGGGGGGGCTGTATCTAGTGGATGAATAGGAACCTTTTATTATGCAATTCATTTTTAAGTTTCTAAACTTTGAGGCACAAAGAAAATAGGGCATAGTTTAATCTATTTTCTCTCATATGCAGCCAAGTGGGAATGTAACTCAATACTAGCATTTTGACCCTGGTTAAAATCCTGGTTAAAAGCGAATAGACTGGTTGCATAACAGTTTTTAAGTGTAAATAGGAATACATGTCATTTTCTCTTAGAAAGTCTTTCATGAAGGCATCTTTTCTCTGAGATGGATAGGCCATGAGTCAAGTGCTTTGCCATAATCTAATTAATATTAATCCGTAATATATTTTTGTGTTTTTAACTGCCTTTTTCATATTGGAATATGGATTTATGAAAGCATTCTCAACCTAAATAATTTGTAGGATGTTATAAGATTTTATGTAATTGATTTTCATTAGGAAGAGAAGATTTTATTTGAAATTGTTTTTATTGCATCTAAAGACTTGACTATCACTTCCACATTTGCATTAGCTAAAAATATTTGTCAAAGCTTATTTTATTTTTTAAATTATTGTATATACTTAAAATGTAATTTATAGGAATATCTTTCCTAGCTCTAGCTTTGTCTTCCTGTTCTATATAAATTTTAGCTGTGAGTAAAAAGGAACAGCTACAAATAACAAAACTGTTACCTTAAACATACACAAGAATGTGGTCCAGCAATGCTAAGTATATAAGATTATTAATTATTCATCCTAAGCTCTTTTCTTCTAAACAACCTGGCTGCATTGGGATTTGTAGGCCTTTTTATATTTGTAATATAAATATGAGGAAGTTTTTCCATAGAAAATCATATACAAAGGCATCTCATCTTAAATTTTTAAATATACCTTACAGTCTTTTGCATTATCAGTTAACCCCTTAACTGCCGCGGGCGTATATATACGCCTTGCTCAGCCGATGCGTTAACTGCCCCAGATGCGCAGCCGATGAGTTAACTTTGCGAATAATTTTAGGTGTAGCAGCGCAAAGCAAATGATAGCAGTTTGGAAGGACGTATATATACACCTGGGGCAGTTAACGCATCGGCTGAGCAAGGTGTATATATACGCCCGCGGCAGTTAAGGGGTTAAACAACCAGAAGAATGCATTTTCATGTATTCATTTGCATTTTTTAACATTGTGAAATTTAATATGAAATTTATTATCTTTAACATTAACTGGATCTTTTTAGCTGTTTTTTTTTTTTTTTTTTTTTTTTTTTTTTCCTGTGGAATTTAAAGCTTCCATAAAATAAAATTTTATATTTTTATTTTGTAATTAATGGTAATTATATGCCACTTCCTTGTTGATTTGATCTGATCTGTGCAGAGATATTTTTAGTTGAGAATTCATTTATTATAACAGAGCACATAAAGGCTATTTCATAAACGTATTAAATGGTGTAATAGGAATTGTGCCTAAAGTGAAATAAGTATAATTTAAGTAGGCTGTTGAAGTCTTTATCAATTTCTTAGTGCAGAAATTTAATTAAATTTCAGTCCTCCTTGTGCAGATTTGACTTTCTTATGCAGAATTCTTTTTTGTGCGTATGGATGTATACTATACCTTTCCCTGTGTTATGATGAACTGTATAATTTAGTTTGTGTTGCCAAAATTAAAGACAGTGTAGCTGATGAGCTTAAAAAAAAAAAAAAAAAGAATACACCTTTCATCAGAGGTGTGTTTTTTTTAACTGATAAACTGATACTGTCTTGATAAGTAAGCACTCTGCCATAATAACGTAACCTAACCAACTGATAAGAGAGAAAAAAATATCAGTTGAGCTTTGATTTTGTCTTTTGTTGTTATTTAATATTTTTTAAAATCTATTTGTATGTAGCAAATTACATTTCAAGATTTAAATGTCAGTATTTTAATTTTGTTAGATATAAAATCTATTTTATTAGATATACAGGTATAAAATAGAATGTTTTTATTTTCATCTTTTTTATAAAAAGTTTCTCAAGTAAACGTGTTTGAGTTAAAATAATGCACCAGATGATGATTATTAGAGGAGTTAAAGCAACAAAAATCAGTATAATTATGCTTTAATTCCTCTAAAACGGAAGTGTGTTTTTATAGCAAAATTGCAATTTTTTTTACTTATAATTGATCTACTCATAGTAATCAAAGATGTTAAATTAAAAATATAATATAATGTATGTATTTTTTGTATGTTTCTAACTTTTATGTACTAAATATTTCCAGTAAGGTAGTTTTTCGACTTTTTATAACTAGCTTCTCCTTTATTAAAATAATCATTTGGGCTGTCAAATAAAATCTATAATGCATGAGGTATCCCACATTCCTTAAAAACTGTCACAGATATAAAATAGCATTAAAGGCTTCTTTTTCTTTTATTTGATTATATTTAACATGAGCATTAATTACTAGAATAGCCAAAATATGGATCTGTTACAAGAAGCATCTTTTAGAAGTAAGAAAACTAACTGAAGGAAATTATGCCTTGTATCTAAATTTGCAAAGATGCCATTGAGCAGTGACATAGATTAGATCAGCGTGGTCAAACCCTCGGACTGCATGTGGCCCTCTTATTAATTTTGTTGGCACTAGGAAAAAACAGGGAAAAAATTTTAGTTAAATATTTGGAAAAACAAAAGACCCTTCTTACTGCTTTAAATAATAATTAACAAATATAAATAATTATATTAAATATAATAATTAAATAATAAAAATTATAAGGCTCAGACAACGAAAACTGTTTTAAATATTGTAAATTTAATAAGGAGAGGCAAAGCCCAGAGACGCAGAGCATTTATTACATTTGTGGACAATTTGGATGCTGAGTATGGTGACATTTTATTGTACTGTCAAGTGCATTGGCTGAGTGCTGGAAATTGTCTGTAACAGTTTTTTGGGTTGATGAATAAAATTCTTGCTTTTGTCAAAAAAGAAAACATTGGGCATGAGTATCAAGAAAAATTAGAAGAAATCCAGTTTTTAAATAATCTTACTTTTCTGACAGACTTAACAACCCATCTAAATGCTTTAAACTTGAAACTACAACGCAGAAAACAATATGTAGCCCAGCTTTATCTACATATTGAAGGCTTTTGCAAAAAACCTAATGTAATGCAAATTACACAGAAGGTAAATAATAATTAAGAATAAAAATTAAGAATATAGTTTTTAACAATACACCTGCATTAGTGAAAATATTGACAAAAAATTGTCCAGTAACAGTTAAAATTCAAGCAGCTTATATATATGTATATATCTATAATACAAAAAAAATTTTTTTTTAAAAACAAAATATAATCATGCCTAGTATTTTCACGCATATATATATATATATATAATTATATAGATATAATATATAAAATTTGTAAAGAAAAACATTATAATTAATGAATTTTAAAAATGTATTTAAAAAGGGACTTAATCCTGTGCCGTTGCTGTAAAGATAAATTTAATTTAATACAGAATATATAAATAAAAACTATCTCCTATAAAATGTAAAGTGAAATTTAGAAAACAATGTGTACTGTTATATACATATACTTCCGAAGTAAAGCAAATGCAAAGAAAAGAGGATTATTTCAAGAGTTAATACAAACATGACATGTAAAATTATTCTCTTCAGAAAATTAAGAATGTAATACTGAGAATCACAACAGCTAACCTCTTTATTCTACCTTTAAAGTATTGTGTAAATTAGTATATATTGATTATTAAAGAAAAAATGGAAATCAAGTTTAAGTTTTTAGACACCCGAGGTAAAATTGTGATGAAACTTTTTATATAAGTCCTCTGTACTTATATAAAAAGTTTCATCACTGCCACTTCCAAAGAGAAGAGCTGAAAACTAAGTGTATTTATATAGATTGAGTTAGGACTTCAGACTTGCTATCATTTCATTTTAAATTAAGACAGTAATATCAGAAACTGATCGTGGTGGGAACTTGTATGAGAAAGCAGACACAAAGAAAGAATTTAAGTATTTACTCATCTGTTTCACTCTTCCAATTTTTTTTTTTTTTTTTTTTTTGAACATGTGCAGATGAGCTGATTCTTAAATTTTAGCCTACCACCCTCCACCTACAGTAGTGGCTGCAATAAATACAAAAAGTTTAATTATTACACCAGTTTTTATGAAACACATATTAAACTAAGTTAATTTTGACAGATAAGTGTAGTTAAGGAGTTCTTAATTTAATGTGAGAGGTGAAGTGTACTACATTGCTAGTAATATTCCATACTGCTCACACTGTATGTTGGAATATCCACACTGAAAAAAATGGCTGGCTAGCAGGTCCTTGCAGTGACTCAGAAAATCTGAAATTGCATTGGTGGACAATATTGCTTGCAATATGTGAAAGTTTCGTGTTCACTTACAAAAATGTATTGCTTGAAATCTTTTATTGGTTTCTTGCAAAACAGTAACCCACCTTAAAGACTATTTCTAGCACATATTCCTCACTTTTATAATTGCTTTCTTCTGCCCTGGTTCATGATTTCAGACTTATATCATCTTTACAGTTTCTGAATCTATATATAAGTATAATATAAAGAATAGTGGCATCTTTGTAATACATTCAAATATTCCTTAATGTAATTTTCATCCATTCTTAATGCAATTAGAACTTTAACCATGGGATTAGGCAAATCATAAAGCAAAAGTAAGCAGACCATACTTATTTTATCTTAAAACTCTAAATATTGAAATCTGTGACTGCATAAATCTTGGCCATAATTTAAAGCCATCCACTTTTTAGTGATGTTTCTACAGACTTAAACAACCTGTGGTTACGACAATAAACAATATCTTTCTTAAAACTTCTTAAAAACTCTTTAGCCATATTGATCTGCTAGAGTTAATTTAACATGTTTTATAAAATGGGTGCAATAAACTTTTTACATTCACATAAGTCATGTTTAACTTCTGAATGTCCAATATGACTTATGTGAATGTAATAAACTTTTTACATTCACATAAGTCATGTTTAACTTCTGAATGTCCAATATGACTTATGTGAATGTAAAAAGTTTATTGCACCCATTTTATAAGACAAACTAAAATTAACTCTAGCTTGAATTTCTGAGGTGGGGCACTGTGTGTCCATGATGGATGTTGTGCTAGAGTAGTACTGTGACGGAGTTGTACCTGTAAATATGTAGGTGAAATTCTGATGCTGTGTTCACTTTTCTCTGTCCCTGTCAGTAAGTTGAACAGGAAATGCACAAAATACAGACAAACTTTAGGGTGTCTAAAAATCCTTTTAAGTGTTTTAAAGTGCTGAAAAACAGCATAAGCTGCAACTAGTGCCATCAAACAATACTGGCAAGTAATTGTGGTGATCTGGTCTACCAACTACTAAGGGGTTAAAAACACTGGACTCTAGTAGTTTGACTTTGTTCAGATCTCTGCGAATGGGCTGGCTGCAATGGCGTTTTTGTGATTTCTCCTATTTGTAATATGAATATGAGCCAGTTTTCTATTATTAAGTCAACCATGGAAGCATCCCTTTGCTTAGGCAGATAGCCCTCATTTTCTTTTCCATTAACTAGATAACCCTAGTGGTAAGTCTGAAATTGCTGTAATGACAGTTAGTACTGGTTAAGTATTCCTGGACAAGTAATGATCACCCTGTGCTACATATATTTTTATATTAAATTGAAGTTCATAATAATTTTAGTATGAATTTTTGAAATTGTGTTTTAATAATATTTGCATTTACCTTTTCCTTTTTATTAAATAAAAATAATTTCTCAATATCTTTTAGATTGATGAAAAAGCATGAATCCCTTGAAAGATAATGAAGATGTTGCCTGCTTTGTTGTCACAAAGTTATCTTGGAAAGGAAGGTAAATAAATGTTCAACAGTCTTGCTAAATGCATTATGCAGTTGTCTCTGTTAATGCTGTAAATATTTAGGCAGTACATTACAAAGTCTGTAATCCTGAATGAAGTCCATTATCCAGAATGATCTATAATCCAGACCTCAAAGCCACAAAATTTTTTTTTTTTTTTATGCTTTACGCATGTGCGTAATTCGTTTACGCATGCACATTTAATGTATAACGAACGGTATAAGGTAGGCTAAAATTATCTTTACTGATTCTAAGGCATTTCAATTAATGTTGCAGATTGCGCTGCTTAATCTTCTAAATGGATCCGCCTTATTATATTTTTCAGACTGTTAGAGCAGTTTTATAAAAATTAAGCTTGAACTTTTGATTATGTCAAAAAGAGTTTCCAATTCTGGAGCTGCCAAAGGATCTACAAAGCGAAAGCATGTTTTGATGTCCATTAAAAAAAAAGTGGAATTGCTGCAAAAAAAAATGAAAAGGCATATCCGTCTCAAAATTTTGCAAGGAGTATGACATTGGAAATTCACATGTATATGACATAAGCAAAAAGGAACTTTTTGAATTTTTTGTGGATTCTTACACCCCACTTGCAATGAATAACAGAAAAAGGGGTTCATTATGCTAAAAGTGACGATCACGACAAAGTGATGATTGAATGGGTCAGACAGCATCGCAGCGAGGGCATGCCATTGATGGCTCCAACGCTAATGGCTGAAGCCAGAATATTTCATGAAGAAATGAACTTAAACAATGAGTGCACATATTCGACAGCTTGATTAACCAAATTTAAAAATCACCATGATATAAGGCAATTAAAAATTTCAGGTGAGAAAGCTTCAGCTGATACTGAAGCTGCTGAACAATTTGCAGATGAATTCATTGAACTCATTACTAGTGAACAATTATCTCTAGAACAAATTTACAGCGCTGATGAAACTGGTCTTTTCGTGCAATATGTACCGCGAAATACCTTGGCAGCCTCTACAGAAAAGGCTCTAACTGGTGTCAAAGATTTCAAAGCGACACTAACAATTTTAGCGTGCGCAAATGCTGCAGGAACGCACAAGTGCAAACCTTTCGTAATCGGAAAACATGCACCACCTTGAGCACTTAAAGGAGTAACGAGTTTCCCTGTTATATATCGCGCAAATAAAAGAGCATAGATGGCACAAGCATTGACAAATGATTGGTTTGAAAATCATTTTATACCCGAGGCTCAGCAACATTTGAATTCGGTTGGTTTACTTGACGACTCAAAAATAGTCCTTATCGTTGACAACTGTTCGGAGCATAATTCACTTAAAGTTTTAGTGAACGATAATATATCTGTATTATTCTTCCCTCCAAATTCTATGTTTATCATTCAGCTTATGGATATGGGAATAGTGCATGCGCTGAAATGCAAATATAAAGTAGCATTTTAAAAATCTGTGTTAAATTTCTTGAACGATGATTATTCAAGACTTTTTAAAATTTTTTAAGCATAAAGTCTGCTGTGTGAAGTATTGCAAGAATGTGACTCCAGATACATTAAAAAAAAAGCTACCATATTTCATGGTAAGGACGATGAAGATGATAGCCATGATTTTGAAGGTTTTCGGACATCATAAACTAAAGGTGAAAGTTTCCAGTCATTGGATTTTGTAAAGAAATATGGAAAAGCAGTAATAAATGAAGATGATATAACAGAAGTTTTTCATTGCGATGAAAATGCCCCAATCATCAATCAATTAACGGACGGCGAAATCTGTAGTAGGGTTCTAGATCCAGAAAATACTGCTTCCAATAGTAAAGAAAGTGACAGAGATTTTATTGAAAACGAAATTCAATTGACAAGTTAGTCGGTATTCTCGACATAGCAATTACAGGACTTGAACAATGGAACTTTGTAACTGAACAAGAAATTATGTCTGTTTATAGAATTAGAAGAGAAAGTATTAGCACAAAAAATGAAGCAACTTAAACAACTTGCATTGAGAGAAGTGTTAAATAAAGTAAACAAATAAATATAAGCTTTTTTTTTTTTTTTTTGTAAATTTTGATACTCTTAGATCATAATTACTCTTTATTTCTTAAATTACAATTTCATATTTTTAATTGTTATAATTTCTACATGCCATCTTACCAGATTTAAATTGATGATCTATAATCCGGAAGAAAACCCTAATCCGGAATCACCAAAATCCCGAAAAGTCCGGATTACGGACTTTGCACTGTACTCTGCATTTGAAATTTTAAAAAAAAATTCATTTTGCGTTGTAATTAAAAAATGATACTTTGGATTTAATATTAACTATAAATGTTTCTCTGATGAAAATCATAGTGAAGAATACAGAAATTATGGTGATTGTACTATATACTGAAAATTCTTACTTTTAATGCATTGCAATGCCATTTAATATAAGGGGTGGGTTTTAATAATTGATAAGATTTTAGCGTACAACTGTAACATAATATGAAAGGGTAGAATAACTATTAAAAAGTAGCTGATCATTCAGGTATCCACTTCTGCAGCAGAATACAAATATGATGTCAGATCCTATCCACACATTTCATTTTAGGTAGGAGTCCCAAGCCTACGCAGCATATTTGACAGGGGAGAGTGGGTTTGACAGGAAAGCTTGATCACTGGCCAAAAGCTTTTGCTAACCTCAACAGATGAGGTGATCTTATGATACTGCATGTGGAAAGTAGGAGGATATTTAATGGTCATCTGCTATGCTGAATGCACCTGGAAATACCTGAACTAGGAAACCTGGTTTCTGCATTTTATACCTTCAAGTCTGAGATTTTCAGAGTACAGATCTCAGCCAATACAATAAACAATCACATTGAAGATGTTAAAGGGTAAAAGTTTAGTACTTTTTTGTTATCAGGACTGGATTAAGAAATGTATGTATGTATGTATGTATATATATGCTCATGTATGCATGTATAACCATACATACATGCATACATTTCTGAATACAGTCCTGATAACAGAAGAGTACCAAAAGGTTTTACGGATCTTTTCAGTTCTTGCTTTCTTTCTTCTTGGTATAGCAGATGTGTTTTCTGCAGTTTAGTTCATCCTATCCTCTACTATAGACCTGGTTTAGCTGTGAGATTAGTTGTGGTGATTTAGTTCCATTAAATCTCAGGATGACATTAACAAATTAATAGCAATTCCTATTTCACTTATAAATACCAGAGATGCATGAATGAAATAATTGCCAATCATAGCTATTTTGGGCTCTTTTCCTTCTGTCCAGGATTATATATAAGTATAAAAAAATTCATTTTGTAAAGGTTGTTTAAATTTGAGATGGAATGCACATTGAGATGGAATGCAAGATATGCATCTAATAAGCAGAGATTGTTTTTAACAGTGCATTATTATTAAAGTATTTCTTCCTTAATTTTTTGTTTTCTCTTTATTTTTTCAAATATATTTTGTTAAACTGTAATCATGTTTTTCATATAGTTTTATTCTTATTTAGATATAAAAGGATATTTTCCATTGGTACAATGGGCATATCTACTTATAGTCCAGCCAAATTAGAAGTTACAAATCAAGTATGTATTTTTTATCCTTATGCATGTGTACTTTACTGAATGCTTATTATTTTAAACTTTCAGTATAAGAAAAAGTACATGTTTATAATAACGTTCCTAATAAATGATTTTTCATAAATTTGTTGCTATCCCTGTATTTGTTTAATAGTATGTATATATTTGTTTAATTGTACGCATACCTGTATAAAGGCATAAAGTAATTAATAGAGCCAGTTTTTTACAAAGACCAAAAATTAAAATTCATAAGTAATAAATTTCAAATAATCCTATAAATACAAAAAAGAATTAAAAAAAGTTAAAACCAAAACATTTCAAACGAGTAGTACCCCAATTAAAAAAATCAATAAAATTTAAAGAAATACGTATATATTGAAAATCAGTATTAGATATTGATGATTGCTTTATTTCTGTACAAAATGTGTGTTGAAAAACTGCGATGGATGTTTTTTGGTAGTAATTCAGTTCTGAAGTACATCATGCATTCTGTTTGTTAGTTCAATATATAAAACTTACACTGAAGTTACTTCAAAGTATTCAGGTAATTATTTGGAAACAAAAAATATGTAGTATTTTTAACCTTGAGTATTTGGTTCAATGCATAAGTTGGATTTACATCAAGGCATAAGTACATAAAGTGGTGTTATGGCCTAAAATACCTTCTGTGAGTACCGTATCACATTATGATAAATAGGAACTTACACTTCATGCACTTTCATTATGCAAACTGTATGGCTAGCATTTTTCAGAATTTGTTCTGCTATACACTGAGCTCCCTGTATGTGTAAGTTTTGACCTTGGCTAAAAGCAGAAAACAACAACTCGCTCACTCTTGTGCAGTCTAATGCTAATAAATCAAGATCGTGAACCGATAAATCAAGATTGTCATGTGACATACCATTAGATTAAGGTATCTTTGGGCATTAGTGTGACAAGCATCAATAAGATAATACATGAACATTTGGCATAAAAAAGATTTGTTCTCGTTGGATCCCGCATAATATATCAAATGCTCAAAGAAGGCTCGTGTTGATTGGAGCAAGGAAATGTTGGCAAAATGCATTCAAGGTGCATCAAAGTCTGTGTATAATATCTACACAGGTTACGAATAATAGATTAATGCATATGAGCCCAAAACAAAAGAGCAGTTGACTATATGCCTCTTCCAAGTCGAATCAAATCCAGCAAAAGTTGTTTGCGGAAGAAGCACATCAAAGGAAATGGTTGCCTGTTTCTTTGGCATTAATAGTGACGTAGCAATAATGGCATTAGAGCAACACAGGACAGTTAATTCAGAATGGCACACTACCGTTTGTTTGCCAGAAGTCATCAGATGAAAAAGCAGAAGAGACGAATCATTCTTCATCATGACAATGCAAGCTTTCGCACATTGGCTCAAGTAAAGGAATGTTTGATGGGCCAAAACGTCAGATTGATAGGTCATCTGCCGTACAGCCCTAATTTGGCATCTAATGACTAATTCCCTCACATCAAAAATATATTATGTGGTTAGCGATTTGTGACACATGAAGAAGTAGTTGATGCATTCAAAATGCATGTTTTGAGTTACCTCAATCGCAGTGAAAAAAGTGCTTCAAAAATTGGTTCAAATGCATGCAAAAGTGTATTGATCTTCATGGATAATATTTTGAAAAACAATAAAACTGATTTTGATCATAAACATTTATTTTTTCATTATTATGCCAGAATTATAAGTAGCAACCCTTGTATATCATCTTCATGATTTTTAGACATTTATTTGAAATAAGGATGATTTCTTATAAATGACTAATGACTTCTCGTATTATTGGGTGTTTTTGGTTTCACAGCAGCTGGACGTAAAGCACTTCATCTATGATGATTTTTGAAATACCAGGTTTTAACAAGTTTCCCACCACCACAAATACCAACTGCGCAAACAGTTCACATTGGCATGTTTAATCATATTTTGTCAAACGATTTTTGTATTTGAAAGAAAGAGACTTGCTTTAAAACACTGTGTTGTGAAATTTGTAAAACAATATCGTTATCATTAAGTACAAGGTATCTGAAATGGAACTATCATGCTACCAAATTAGAACCATCATTTACTTCCAGTTCTGTTGCAAAAAGTCAGCTACAGGATGTCACCAAATCATGTGTACAGCTTTAGGTTCTAATGTTGTATCATAAGTCACTGTGAAGGTTTGCTACTGAAAGGTCTAAAACAAGGACTATGACATTCAAGAAGCAGAGTGCTCTGGCCTGCGTACTAATGTTGATGAGGCCCGCCTGCAAAAACTTGTGGAAGAAAATCAGTATGCAACCACTCGAGAGCTTGCTAAGGAGTTAGATGTTAATGCCATGTTCATTAGTCATGTTATGCATCTCATAAACTTGACATATAAGTTTAATTGCTGGGTGCTGCATGAGCTGACTCAAGCAGCTTAGGACAGACATTTTTGGGACTTTACTAATTTGCTGAATATCAATGCAAGGACAAAATTCTAGACCGGATCGTCACTTGTGATGAAAAGTGAATTTACTTCAGCAACACAGACTCAAAAGGGGGTTGGTCTGCACCCAGTGAGACAGTCGGCAGCATCACAAAGTGCAGTTTGACTAACAAAAAGATCAGGCTTTGTATCCCATGGGATTACCATGGTATTACCCACAAAGATTATTTGCAAAAATATAAAACCCTCAACAGTAAGGTGTACAGGGAGATGCTAGTCTGTATTGATGCTATTATCAAGGAAAAACTTCAATCTAAGTTCCATTTAAAAAGCTAATGTTCCATCAAGATAATGTGACCACATGTGTCTGCATTCACAGACTCTGTATGGACTCGAATGGGATCTTTTACCACACCCACCATATAGCCCCGACATCACTCCTTCGGACTTCTGCCTCTTTTCATACCTGCAGTTGCATCTTGCTGGTGCTATCATCTATTCTGTACAGGACGTCCAAACATATTGTTTGGAATTGAAAAAAAATTGTGTTTCCTTTCCTCTGTGGTTTATGTTTAAAATTATTTAGATGAGGTGTAACGTCGTTTACCATGGAAAAAAGATTTGCTTTTGTTGATCATCCATTAGTTCAACACTCTTCTCAAGAAATGTGTTAATTTTTAATAATAAGGAAGCAAAGTATTTTAAAGCATTTCCTCTTGAAAGCCAGCATACCTTATTATGCAGCAAAACATCTGCATATTCACTTTCCATTTCCATGGAGAATTCTTTAAATTTTCAATGATAAAGAGTTTTAGCTTTAATTTTGTTGCTAATCATGCAAATTTCTTCTGGAAATGTCTGTGCACAAAATGCTTCTTGATCAATGAAGCAATGGTAAACAAGTATCTTGTGATTAATTTTTTTTTTTTTTTCCCTCCAAAGTAGAAACAAAACCTTTTTTTCACTCTAGTCATACTTTGTGCCTCAGCTATTGAAACTGAAGCAGTTTTATCAAGAGGAATATGATGTTTCTTCATGCCTTCATTGACAGCATTTGCAATATCCTCACCACATGTTTTATCTTAAGGTGTAGTAATCCTAAAAGTTCTTTAGGTCCCATACATGAAATAAATCGAACAAAAAGTTAAACTTGTACTGCATCATTTATTTCATAAGATTCATCAACAAGCTGAAACCATTTTAAGATCTCTGATGTGCTGATTAGTTATATTTGAAGACATTTTTACTTTTCTGTGTTTTAGTGTTTTAGCAGCCAGTGGTAACTCTTAAATATTTTAAGAATTTCTGCTTTAATCCTGGAATAACTTTTCAGGTGTATGTAAAACAACTTTTAATGTATTCACCATCTGTCTATGCTTTGTCTGTTTTAGCAATCTCTTGACTAACAATAAAGCTGGCAATATCAACATTGTTGGAAGATAGCATCCAAAAATTAAAAAAAAAAAAAAGATTGATTTTTCATAACTCTTCTAAATTTCCTCACCTGCTTTCGTCCTTGCATCACTGGTGAGATATTTACTGTTGATAATGGGATATTTACTGTTGAATATTACAGTTAACGTGTGTTTAGTTGTAAATTGTGTGTTCAAATTTGATTTCTAGTTATGCGGCAATTTGTTTTTCAAAAATAAGATAAGTCAGAAGGCCATTTGAGTTTTGTATCAACATGAATGATTCAGTTCATTCAGCTTTAAAGTCATGGTTTTCACCTTCTATTTTTCTTTTCAGCCATGTCAGATAGATGGCATCTAAAAACAAATTTTTTTGTTTTATAACAATAAAAGCATAATATTGTTTTATAACAATAAAAGCAGCAACATAGAGTTTTAACAACATATTAAATTGATGCCAAAAATACCTGCGAGATCTGTAGCTGGTTATTAAATATTCGGTCTACCGGGAAGTTATGTCCGTTTTATGACAACAATTTTTTACACGTAAGCACATGTTTATTTACCATATGTTCGGCTCTCTATTTTTATCGCTTAATGTATGCATACTGAAGTAGCATGTTAACTAAAACAAAGTTGATTCACGTTAGTCTTAAGTGTGAAGCGATAGTGTACTCATGGCCACTATTGCTAGTTAGTGGTTAGTTAATTTATGCCACTGTGTTTTATACAAATTTCAACAAGGAAGAAATGCTACAGAAGCATGTAGAAATTTATTGAAAGTGTTTGGTGAAGGTACACTTTCTGATAAGGCATGCAGAAGATGGTTTGAAACAGGTGATTTCGAACTTTCTGATAAGCCACATTCTGGGCAATCATCTTTGATCGGTGATGGTGTTGTTATGACCATAAACTAAGTCAGAAGAATTTAGATGATCGAGTCATCATATGCACATCTTTGCTTACTCCGAACAAAATGAAGCCCTTCTTGAACTGGATGATAACTGGGAATGAAAAGTGGATCACCCACGGAAACATTGTAAACGAAAGGGCATATTGTGAACCTAGAAAACCTAGCCGTCCCACCTCTGAACCAAATTTAACCCTGAATAAGGAGAATGTTGTGTATATGGTGGGGCATTCGAGGACCGGTACATTATGAGCTTTTAAAACCGAACAAAAAGCCCAATTCGAAGTACTGACAGCAATTAGACAATTTAAAGACAACAGTCCAAGAAAAGAGGCCATCAATTTTCAACAGGAAGGACATTGTACTGCATTATGATCATGCTGCTTTGGGGACTCATCAAAAAATTGCAGAACTAGGCTGGGAAATTCTGTCACATACACCATATTCCCCGGACTTAGCACCCTCGGACTATCACTTTTTTTTGTCCTTACAAAATTTTTTGAAGGGCAAAAAATTCAAAAACGAAGTAGATATCAAACAAGCAGCAGCTCAATTTTTCGCATCAAAAGTTACATCATTTTTCAAAAATGGGATATACAAATTGCCCTCACACTGGCAAGAAGTCATTAATAATAACAGCAATTATATTATTTTTCATATAATAAAGTTTATTGATGGTAAGAAAATTTTGTATTTTGTTTTATTCCAAAAATGGACAGAACTTTCCAGTAGACAGTATACAAGTAGTTTAATGCATCGAATAGGTACAATTTATTGCTTGCATGAGAGTTTTCAGTACATGAGGCGCTGACCACAGTACACACTGACTGATAAGCGATGATGGCTTGCTCCTGGTCAACTCATGTTGTAGTCGTGTGTGTCACTTCCATACTGCATACACCATGCTTACCTGCCTAACCAACACTCTGCTTATCCCATGTAGTTGAATTTAATTTGTGGCAGAGCTGCACTCAAGTGACTAAAGAGCCACATGCAGCTCGTGAGCCACTGTTTTCCGACCACTGGTATAAGTGATGAAATTAAAGTAATTTGATAACAATTTTATAACTTCATGCATATAATCTGTAAATTAGATTTCATTAGTGTAATGTTTTTGCTATATTATACACTGTTTTATAATTAATTTTTAATTTTATACAAATGTAAACCTGCATTTTATTATTTAAAGTAAGCTTATGTATTACACTTCAACTACGAGGGTGGATCCCCCCAAAAAGTTGACAAGAGTAATAAAAATTTATTCATTAACAATAGATTGAAAATATAAAAGGGAATTAAGAGGCATACTTGCCTATAATTTTTCCACGTAATAATCAAATCTATTTAGGCATTTATCTGAATGCAGAGCCAACTTTATATAATACAACTTGGTAAAAATCACATCTCTGCCCATTGAGCAAGTTCTCAGTAGCTGTTTTCACATCGCTATCTGAAGAGAACCTCATTCTAGATAATTCCTTCAATTTCAGAAAAAGGAAATAGTCATTATGTGCTAAATCTGGGTTATATGGGGAGTGACTTCAGGCTTCACACTTCAAATTTTGCAGCAAATCTTGATATAGTCAAGAGTACAGGGCCAGGCATTCTCATTCAGGAGGAGGACTCCATCACTCAACATGCCAGGGTGCTTGCATTGGATAGCTTCATGTAACCTTGTCAAAATGGCACTATAACAATAGGGTAGTGGTATGGCCATGCTTCAGATATTTGATCAGGATAATGAATCACAGATCGCACCTCTAAGCAAGGCCATTTTTGTAAACATTTTGCCATTTCAATCACTCTGACATGTCCGTGAACTTACTTTACCAACCCGCACAACCACTGCTAGACAACTATTGCCATCTGTTAACTCTAGGGCAGTGATAGTGAACTTATGGCGTGCATGCCATAATCAGCACGCACAGCCTTAATAGCTGGCACACGATTAAAATATTACTTCCTTAATTAATATTCACAATACAATAAAATGATACTATGTAATTTAAATAAGTGTATCAGTCTCTTCTTGAACGTTTCCCTTACATACTTATAGCATAATGTCACTGGCATAGAGCTTAAGCCAAGAAGATATCAGGTTTTCATATATCACCATAGAAATGATATACATATTTATTGATCCAATTTATGACATTTCAATTGTTTGGATCAATCATATTACTTGTTACATGGCAAAGAATACTCCAAAGTTGAAGCAGCTAATGTTTGCTAAACGAATTCAAATTTATTGCATACTGCTGGTGAGTTTTAATGCTTTCATTGTTAAATGTATTCCAGTTTTCAGATCTCAGCATTTCAAGGTAATATATGAATAATTCTAATTTAATATTTTAAACGGAATGGCACACGGCCAGTCCATTATGGGCATGCGGCCCCAGAAAGGTTCGCCACCACTGCCTCTAAGGGAAACAATTCCCTCCTTAATAATTACTTTCCAAATGCTGATACTTGTAACCTTTTTTTTTGGGGGGGGGAGGACCCACCTATGTACTATCCTTTTAATGTTTAATGGATACCTAGCGTGACATACAAATCAAAAATTATCAATCCCAACAGTAATTTTCTGTAAGGTGATTGATTACCTCCTCAGAAATAAAAATCATCTAGAATTGTGGGCATGCCATCTTGGAGATATTTGATTGCATTTGCATTTCATTGTTACTATAAACCTGGCTAGTAGCTTTTGTAATGAATGTTATTATTATCTTTTTTAGTGGTTTTATAGTGATTTTATCAGTATTCTTCCAAGTACTGCAAAAGGTCAGACAGATGAATTTGTAATTAATATGAAGAAAGGTAGAAAAGGAGACTCGATGAAATTTTCATCTGATCTTAGAGCTGATATACTCACTGAAGCTTTGGTATGTAGATATTCTTGTATTGCAACATAAATTAATTAATTGCAACATAAATTAATTAAATGCAACATAAATTAATTAAATTAGTTTATTGAAACTGAAGAATTACTTTTTATGCATGATTTTGCTTCATTTCTTAACCCCTTCGCGCCGGGTAGCGCAAACGCGCGCTTATCGCGGAGGCTGGCAGCGTCTTACGCGAGCGTCTGTCCGGGGCCTGGGCTTTTTTGCTATTAAGCCTAAATCCATGAAATTTCCGAAGTATCAACGCATTGTTTAATAATGCTCTATAGAGTATTTAAACTGCTTATGCTTTATAGATATTTTTATATATACTTTTAATTAGCTTATTTCTTGTTTAAATGCATATTTTACACATTTTATTTTCATTACTCACAATTTTATGACTTTTAACATTATACATTTGAAAACTAAATATATTACTTAAAATTCTCTCTTCGTATGAAAAATTTGAAAACAGGGATCTACACACAGTCCTACATTACGTTCCTTGCATTCGTAATAACTCATTTGCTGTTTTGGAGGATTTTTCCGGGAATGTGAACAAACGAAGCATCGTCGTCTCATTTTCTTATCAGTCTCTTCTGAACAAAGTTTTGTAAAATGTCTTTCAGTTAATCTGAGCGGATTTAATGATTGTGGGTTTCTTTATAATACTCATCAAAATTGTTAGAGCAAAGAAAACAAACATTTCTTCCACTGTAACTGGTAAATACTTCGAAGAAGTTGCTCCAGATTCATCCTCAGGATATTTACTCCTCTGATACAGATTAGTCTCTTCAGTAATTAATTTCATTATTGTATATCATCAAAATAATACCTAAAGAAATCAATTTCTTCTTCAACCGAATTATCTACTTTAATTCCAGGAACAGCTTTAAATGGTAATTCCGATAAATTTTCTATAGTGGATGACCATGGAGAAGTACTTGCTTTTGACGTACTCGGCATACAGATGTCCAAAATGTCCTCATCATCATTAGATTCGCCAGATTCTTTATGATCAGAATATATCATAGTATCACTATCACTACTATCAGAATCTGTTTCAGAATCAATATCTGAAATATTTTGCATCATTTCTGCTATTTCATGCTCTGTTAAACATTTTCGACGCTTCGACATTGCAACGGTAAAAACAGAAAGAATTCACGTCTAACAAAATCTAATTATTTTCTAAAAACTGAACTGCAAGTCGAAATGCCCAACGCTTTAGCGAAAATAAAACTTCTCTAATTACAATAAACAACTACCACGTGCGAATTTAAAGAGACGTCATAAAGCACGCCATTCGGAAATATTTATTTCCCTTTTGTTTATATAATCAAAAACACGTGTATGTGAGTCATGCTTCTCTCATTTCTAGTAGAAGGTCTAATGTACATGTATCTGAAACCATATGGACATACAGTGTCATCTTGTGGCAGAAATTATAGTTTTTAAAATGTTCCAAGACACTGGCACAAATACGTGACAGTCGGGGCTGAACGGAAAACGCTCTGGCACACCTGCGTGTCGGCTGGGAAGTGAGTGTGTTCGTTGCTGGCACATAGACGTGACAGTCGGCGCGAAGGGGTTAAATTCATCATTCTTAAGTCAAACCAATCTTAAATTAGAAAAGCTCAATATATGAAAGTCAAATTTTACCTTCTTATAAGTTTGCACACACAAATACATCCCCCTCCCCAAAAAACGTTTTTTTTTTTTTTTGGAAACATTTAAGAAATCATTTTCTTGTATTTAAAAATTGTTTACTTTTGAAAGTGCATAAAAAAAAACTTGGACGATTTTAATGGAACATTTATTTACACTTTGAAGAAGATTGCTTTAAAGTTTCATTAATTATTCTGACCAAAAATAATGTACACTGTGCTTTAAAAAAAAAAAAAAAAAAAAAAAAAGGATAGAGAGAGAAAGGACAGTTCCGTATTTCCCATTGTACTGGGTCGATTGACAAAATTCAAATATTTCGTTTCTCATGTTTTGAAAGCGCAACTTAGGATATATATTAGATTTACAGGGTTCGTAGTGATCCTTACAAGTGCTTATAAGTCCTTATATTTGAAAATAAAATATAAAGGCCCTTATATATAGGTGCTTACTTTTACTTTAAAGCCCTTATTTTTTTGCTTTTAGTGCTTTTTTTTTAATCCTTTGTTTTTAATGAATGCGCATTTTTTCCCCGTACCAAAGCCGAAACTAAATAAACAACTTTTCTTCCTTATATGCAACGTCAGATGGTGAATCATACTCCGGGAAATTGCTTTCCCCCTTCCTCTGCATTAATGCGTGCTAGAGTATAGACAGGTGCACGTCGTTCTATTGGCCAAAGAATTGAAAACGGTAGAAAATTCCGGTACATTTGGTATTCTTTTCCTCCCACCCAAATACTGCACACGTTTGAATTTTTATCAAGAATTTGCATTCTCGTTCCGCGTGGTCAGGTCATATTCGTGTTTATTATGATCGTTATGCTCATATTATGAGCATAATATGAGCATATGTATGAATATTTATAATAATATAGTTGCAGTAACTACTGAAGTATAGATAAACTTCCCAAAATGGGTGTGTTTTACACAGATTAGCTTTCTAAGGAATAATATTCGGAATGGCTTAAATAAAAGGAAAGTAATCGAATAGTCAAAATAATTTCATTTTCTTTGCCAATACATTAAACAGTACGGAGGTTGAGAGTTTCTCCGCAAAATCTCTAATATTGAAGCAGCGGACTTTTTTTTTTTTGTCACTGTCCAATCTGGATTGAATAGGACTAAAAGTTTTTGCGGTCTACCCAACCCAAGCGAAGATTGATTCTATTCCGGATATTTAATACAGTCTTTTGAAAATTAGAATCAGAAACACCCCGATAAGTTAATTTTGAATGTTTTGCAGTCAGTTGAGATTTGTTTTATGAACACTTAAAAGAGTTTTACTGTACTTTCTAAGCAGAATATTTCTCAATTCCGTTGGTCTATTTTTATATGATGCCCATATCGAAATGTCAAAATCATTTATTTGGCCTAGAAATCTAAAGAACGGCTACAATCTCCCTCACTCCTCTTTTTTCCAGTTACTATCTGGAATATTCGGGAATTTCTGAGAATGCGGGTTAGTTAAGCTTTTACTGTTAAAGGATGACTGAATGAAGCAATTTCCCGTCTTCTGATTTCAGAAATGTGCCTCTTTTTTATTTAAATTACTTTGCTTGGAATATATGTTGAGGGAAAACTGTTATGCAATGAAAATTTAGAAAATGTTCAGAATTTTGATTTAAGTTAAATTATTTAAACACTAATATGAATGGAAAAATAAATTGTTTTTAGTATTAGGTGCCAAATGAATACAATTAATATGGCATATTATTATTTATTTTCTATGTTTTCAACTGAAATATCATCATTGAATCTTGTAATATAGTTTAGTTCTGCATAGTTTTTTTTTCTCTCATTGTAAACTAATTCTGTAAATTGAACTGTCATTTAAAATTAAAAAAAAAAAAAAAGTTAATTGTTTTCCATTGTTGAGGTAATGCTCATTCTCTTAATAAATATTGCATTGCTCATATTTTAAATTACAAGTCTAATTTTTCTTTTAAGGTTATGCAGTTGTGTATAATGTAATTAGACAGGTGCTTATTTTTTCCTTAAAATGTGCTTGAAAAGTGCTTATAGGTGCTTATTTTTTTAACTAAAATGTGGCTGAACCCTGATTTATATATAGCATTGTTCTAAAATAGGTATTTTGACACAAAAATCGGACTTTTTTTCTGAAATAACATGCCAATTTTTTTCCATAATTCGATTCTACGAATCAAATTATGCCTAGATCTTAAGTTTTGTAAAATTTGGTGCAAAATTTACAGGGAAATTCAAAAATTTATCTTGGCGGAATTTTTTCAGTTTGGTCAAGAATAATTCACTTGGTGAACTTCTTAATATATGGCAGCCAATTTTCCTTTCCCTTCCATTATACCGGAGCGGAAGAAAGGCACCTCGTTCTTACCTTTTCACATTGCGTATGAGCGGAAAAAAAATCACATCGTTTGTACTTCCAAATAATTTTGGCAAAGTGTTTAAACCACATCTGATGTTTTATCGCTTTTAACAATTATGGCAAATTTCAAAATGTGCCAATATATAAATTCACTTATGTCTTCGAAAATTTTGAATAAAAAATTGTAATTTTTTGCAGGTATGCTTAGAAATACGTTTACTTTAAGATGATGATAAAAATTTTATAGATTATAAATCAAATTTTTTTTTGAAAAATTTATAAAAATTATTTAAAAATACAAATTTTAGAAATAAATCATAAAAAATGAGTGAATTTTATTTGGAATAAACCTGAATTTCGAAATATGAAAGGAAGAATCAAATAAGTTTAATACAAAAAGAGAGATTAATAAATATATACCAAACTCAATTAACATTGAGGAGCTAAAATTTTGAGAGCTAATTTTTTAAAATTACACATGCGATTTTTACAAAAATTAGTTTCGCATAATTTGAGTTGTAGAATTGAAATCTGGAAAAAAATTAGTATGTTGCTTCAGAAAAAGTCCAATTTTGTGTCAAAATACCTATTTTGGAACAATGCTATATATAAATCTAATATATATATCCTAAGTAATGCTTTCAAGACATGAAAAACGCAATTTGAATTTATTGAATCGGCCCATTAGAACGGGAGATATAGAACTGTCCCCCTTTTTTTGGGGGGAGAAGCACAGTGTACATGAATTGCATTATTATAATTTCTGTGTAAGCATGTTAAATTAAACATCAATATATGAAATAGGGCTTAATACAAGTCTTATATCTTGCTGTTAATAATTCGACCCATTGGCACAATTTTTAGACGGATAGCTGGATATTTCGCGGACCGGCAAATATTTCTTGCAGACCGGTACCGGTCTGCAGACTGGCGGTTGAGAAACACTGTACTAAATAGTCCCTAGCTCCAGCACAGGTAACTTTTTCCTACATAGTATTAATTCTTAAGAGATTAATGAATCCTTCAGCAATATATTATGTGCATGGTTAGGCAGCTGACTATGGCTTCAAGGGCCATGATATTTTGTTAAATAATATTTATGTGCAAATTGCTTTTAATCATTTTCCAATAAGTGGCAGTGAGTTGTATTTTTGTCAATATCCTTTAATTTTAATAAGAAGTCTATTAAGATTAATTTTAATGAGCAATGTATTAAGATTGAACTCAGAAATTGTATTTTGATTATTTTTATTGCATAACAGGAGAGAGAACTTTTCCATTAATCTTTCCATTAATCTTAAAACATTTTCCATTAATCTTAAAACATTAAATTACTTTAATGTTTTAAGATTAATCAGTTGGAAAGCAGGACAGTTAATGTCAGATAATGCTTTTGTGTAAATTGTTTTGAAACATTTTTTAATAAGTAACACTTAAATTTTGTCAGTATCCTTTCATGAGCAGTATAAAATGATGTAATTAGTTATGGAGAAGTATCTTGCTTTATTATTTGAACTCGTGTATACTACCAAGTATATTATAAAATTAATTTTTGATAAATTTATTTATTATAGAGGTTCAGAAATAAATTTGCTGAGTCATCTTATGTGTCAATAGTGAGTATTAATTTCCAGTTTAGATTATCTTGAATTTTAATGAGTATTGAAAAAAAATAAGTGAAGTTTTAAATGTCTATTGTTGACTTTATTCCCTTTTTTTTTTTTTTTTTTTTTTTTTTTTAAATTTGAATGAATTACAGAATTCAAAAAGTAGTTGAGCATTTGTTTAATGTGGGGGATATCTTATGTTTTTATGAAGGGTCCTTTACTGAAATTTTAGTTGGTTTCATTATCGGTTTGCATTGAGAGTTGTTAATTATGTGAATATGAAATTTGCTAAATTGTTTGAGTTTAGATAGTAAATAAAAAGGGAGAAAATGCATTTTATTAAAATTTTATTGTTTATGGAAAAAAGTAAACATAAATGGTTAATGGGGGTTAAACCTGACATGTTATACTTAAGAGTGATAAGTTAACTTTTATTCTTGCCCTGCCAAAATTTATAGCTGTCTGTTGTCAAGAAGAATAATAGCTGCTATTCCTTGTGCTTTTATCTACCAACCAGTGACTAAAACAGGCTGACTGCATGAAGTTTTTATGGTTTTTCCTGTGTATACCATGAATACAAGGCACATTTCTTTTTTTTGCACAAAGGCATACCTTTCCTTATGCAGACAGCAGTCACATGCTTTGCAATTATTAATTAATCAACCACTTTTCTGCTGTATAGAATATACTATTACATGTCTTTTGTAGTAGACATGGTGCGAAAGTATATTTGGCACATTTCTGCATTGGGATGAAACAAGCAGCTACTGATCTGCATATATGCGAGAAACGGTTATCGTTCTGCATATAGATATGGTTAGCGGTCTAACTGGTTTTTCATTGTACTCATGATTCTAACTATTTTCATTCTTTCATCAACGGGAAAAGAAACTATAGGCATTTGAAGCATTATTAGCAGCAATTTTCTGAACTTATAATCACAAGAGAGAATTTGTAAATATTAATTTTCTGGTATGTTTATATATTTTTTAATGAGTTACTAACAAATAAATTGTACATTACAAAGTCCGTAATCCAAACCCGTCGGGACTTCGGCAATTCTGGATTAAGGGTTTTTCCGGATTATAGATCATCAATTTAAATCTGGTAAGATGGCATGCAGAAATTATACAATTAAAAATATGAAACGGTAATTTATGAAATAAAGAGCAGTTATAATCTAAAAGGTATCAAAATTTACAAAAAAAAGCTTAATATTTATTTGTTTACTTTATTAAAAATTTCTTTCAATGTAAGTTGTTTAAGTGCTTCGTTTTTTAAACGCACATGCGTAACATTAAATGCGCACATGTAAACACATTATGCGCATACGTAAGTTTGTGGCTTTGAGGTTCGTGTGACCTCAAAATGATCTATAGATCATTCTGGATAATGGATGTCCGAATTACAGACTTTGTACTGTATTGGGTAAAATCATAAATAGAATTTTCCAATATGGTTATTTAATAAATAGAATTTTCTAGCATGTTATTTAACCAAAATTGCTTTTGTAACTGTACTAACAGCTTTGCTGCCAGCCTTCGTCTGGCTTTTAAATGTTCCGGAAAAATGTCTGAAGGGAACACCAAATGTAAATTTAAAAACTGCGTAGAATTTTACTCTGCAGAACAACTTCATAAAAAAAAGTTATTACATATAACAAAATTACAATGAAATAAACAATATCCCTTAATATAAATATTAATTATCCTAATAAATAAATTAACCAACTTCCCTTTGTAAAATCTTAAGAACACAAATGGAATAAAGGAAATTAAGAAGTTTGTTTCCTAAAAAAATCACTCAAAACATTTCACTATCTTAAAAACAGTGAAATGAGCAATAAATAGCATAAAAGAATACAAAAAAAAAAAATTCTGAAAAGCAAAGTATAATTAATGATATTTTATCTTATATTTTCAAGAGAAAAAAATTACAATGAAATAAGCTGTATCCCTTAATACAAATATTAATTATCCTAATAAAAAATGAAACTACTTTGAAGGAAAAAATCATGCAAAACTTTTCAATATCTTACAAACCGTGAAATAGCAAAAAATAACATGAAAGCAACTCAAAAAATGTAAAATTACACGCAGAATTTTACTCTGCAGAACAACTTTATCAAAAAAAAAATAATAATAAAATAATAAATAAAAATAAAAATGTATTATATATATATATAAATTACAATGAAATATGCCAATCTCTTAAAAACAGTGAAATAAGATATAGGATGAAATATTGTTGCCAAACCCATATTTCTGAAAGAATGAAACTGTTCAAAATGATGGTATTTCATCAACAATCTATCAACAACAATAAGACAGGAAAATTGTTGCCAAAATCACATTTTTAAAGATGTGAGATGTGAGAAGTGTACTCGGAAGCTTCATTTAAAAAAAATTTTAAAAATACAAAATATTATCATTTTTCCAAAATTCTTTTTGTAAAAGCAGTCGCAAGGATGAAAGTTTAAGGTGTCCAAAAATCAAAGAAAAATAAACTGTACATTTTAAAAAATAAACTTTTTTAGAAAAATCCCATTGAAAAGGCATTAAGCTCCCTTTGTTAAATAAATTCATATTTAATCGATTTATTGAAACACAAAATTTCTTTTAAGTTCGTAAAATAGCTAAGTGTCTACGTTTCATGACGATGTGAAAATGGAGTGTGTAGAGTAAAATCTCGCTGTCCTATAGCCCATTATGTCTCAAAATGATGCGATTTCGTCACAAAACATAAAATAAAAAAAATTCTAATTCGAATTTCAAAAAAATCTCTTCGAGGTGCACTGGCTTTTGTCTAGATGCACCTATGTACCAAATTTCATAGCCGTGGGTCTATTAGCTTAAGTGCAGTGCGAACGAAAGACACACACACACAAACGCAGCGCAGACAGACTCTTTCTTTTATTATATGTAGAGATTAAGTACAATAAATCATGTATATATTAAACAAGTTCTGTTGAAGTATTTACTATTTTAAATAAGCTGTTGAGAGTATTATATTATATATTATAATAAATACAAAATTTATAAAATTCCTTTTCTATGTAATATTTGTTAAATAACTTTTGTTGTATAGATATTGATTGAATTGCCCTTTGTTCATTTACCGTAATCAGTTTTGTTTCTGTGAATATTTACAATATTTGGCAACAGATTGCATTTTTTTAAGTCTGAAATGCGGCAATGCCATTTTCTGTCACCAGGGCTATTAGAAAAAACAAATGCAGATAGATTTCCTAAATGCATTTGAATATCATATGTTATACTTTGTCATAGGTCCATGAAGTAATCTGAACATTCCATAGATATGTTTCAATATTATACAAAATTTTTTCAAATTCTTGGGTAATCAAGTTTTATTTTATTAAATGCATCATTATGTATTGTTTCATTATTTTTTTTCTCTTTTAAACATCTTTAAGTAAATATTTTATCTTGGATACAGTTCCGTTACAAGGGCCATAAAAGATCACCAAAGTAATTGTTGATGCCATTGATGCCAAGAATAATTATAATAACTGTAACATAAGAAAGGAAGAATAATAGTAAATAAATATGTAAGATTACATTTTTTTATTATAATAATTTATAAAAATGGCTAAATGTAAATGAAAGAAAGCATAACAGTAATTAACTATCTAAGATTATTAATTTAATTTGATGAAAGGTTACTTTTCATACATTTTTTTATTATTTTAATTTATAAAAAAAGACTAAACATATGTGAAATTAAACGGGAGACATAAAATTTTTTATATCTTTCAACACTATAGAGAAAATTAAATTTTTTTTTTTTGGCAAACATCTCTAAAGTCAGACAGATAAAAATCGAAATGCTGTCAAGTAGTGCCCCAATGGCATTTATTATGACAATTAGCATTGCCCTACAACTGCTCCATTATTTGTGTATGACACCCAGTTTCGGGGTCCACAAAATTCGGGGTTGCTACGTTTCCTGGAAAAGTGGGAAAAATCAGAGAATTTGAAAATTGGCCAAAAAGTCATAGAATTTAAATATTTTTGACAAAATCTGGAAAAGTCGGGGAGTTTCATATGTCAGTCCCCCAAAAAGCACTTTTCGCACCAACGTTTCTTTAAGAAAGCGGTCATTTTCTTGGGGAATTATGTAATGCACGACCCTCATTTGGACAGCTGGACAGCCAATTTTTACAGTGCCAATTGTCTTTTAGAAAGAAAAAGGCAGCTTCTAGCACCTTTGGTTTCCGGTAGCCTTGAGAACTCAGAGATTCGCATGTGTATGTTGGAACGAAAATAAATCCCACCCCCATTCTCGTATAAAAGAAAATCTTTTAAGCCTTTTCATCTTTCTTAAATGCTTTATTTGCCATTTTATAGTAAAATAATAAAAAAAAAATATTAAAAAAAATTTGAAAGGTTTCAGATTTTAAATTACGTCCAAAGAGGTGTTTTTTTAATGTTTTGTCAGTTACCTTTATTTATTAAATATCGTGTGCTTTGCACTTAAACCATAAAATTCAGTTCAGTAGCAATGTCGCAAAATAATTTCAAAATGAGCATATCTTTAAAATTTCCGATACACAGTTCCGCATGCTGGAGATAAAAATGTTTCTCCCCCCATTGCTCATTTTGAAATCCTTGAGTTTGTTAATAAAAAATTTCTTAGTTTTACAAAATATGAAATCGATAATAAAAGAAATTCCAAATGGACTTCCAGATGCCCATATTCGCTGTAGAATTACGTCATTCAAAATTGGATGGCTCTATGTACCGTTGTTTTATCACAATGCGAGAAATCTACATACATTTATTCAAATTTTTCATTATTTAATTTCTTCAAATATAATGCAGGACTCTAACGTTTGGTGGTAACAGTTTGAAAAGTGAAACCATTTATAGTGATTCAACGCAAAATAGCAAAACGAAAACAATAGTCCTTCAGTGGCAAAGCCCCTTTGGACTAATAATCAGTCATCTAGCCTAACCATTTAATATATCTATATTCGACAAAGTACCATCAATGTTTTTAATTCAGATTTTAATCTTTAAGTAATTTATTTTAACGTTATTCGTATCATTTAATGTGACTTCTTCCTTCTTTAATGTTAATGTGACTTCTTGCGATTTCTAAATTAATTTAGTATTAGTTAACAATACTTTCGAATTTCAGGCAGTTTTCTCTGGAATACTTGTGATACTAATTCTAGCATACCATTACAAAATTTCTGCACATATTTTTTACTTATATGTGCTGCTAAATAAATATAAAATACTTGAATGTGTTTTAAAATATCATTAAATAGATTTCTTTCTTCCTTTAGCTGCAAAATGTCTACTGAAAAGACATTTTTTAATCCCGATTGGGCTGATTCTAATCTCAAACCTCAGTGGAGAAAAAACTCCTATTATAGTTATAATATTAATGCTTTGGGGATAAATATATAAGTCATATGTAATTGGCAAATTTTTGTGTTTTCAAGTGGTACCATAATTAATTTACTTTCAGCACAGCCAATGCGCACTACACGAATGATAGCTTGGAATTTTCTTGAAACACTCCTGGAAAAATCACGGAATTTCATTCTCTTGTTTAAGTGACAAACCTGAAGACTGCAGTTGTGGTTGACAGTAAAATGCCTCAAAGCCGGCATGGTGCAGTTCATCCGACTTGTATGATTTCCAGCAGTCGTATAAGAAATGCTTCCTTCTGCGATATTTTCATTTATGATGTTCAATAAGGTTTTCACCAAATGATATGGAATAGCAACTAAGAAACATTAATTTGATTTTCTGCGCAAACCGCCGAAATACCATTGTGGTGGAAGAATGTGTCCAATATTATTCTTCCTTATACTAAAAAGGCTTTCATCTGCTTCAATAATTTTGTTACATCCATTGATTTTCAACCTAGACCAAGCAATTAAAGCTGTTCCATGTACCTCATGCATGTAACTGTTAAGGTCTACAGTTATACTGTGGTTTATATTCAGTTAGAGTTTACAAAATTCAATGATGTCATCTTCTGACTCCCAAAACAGATGAACCTAACTGCTGTAAGGAAAAGGATTTATTGTTATTCGAACCAATTTTGACTTCTTAATCCTTTCTTCTCATTACAAGTTTCTTCTCTGCACTTTCGTTATTGATTTACCATTAAAGCATAATTTCATCTCGTGATTGTTCAAACATAATTTTCTATCGTGAATGATGCCTTTTCTTTAAAAAAGTTCTGTTGCAGACTTTTTGTCATTAGACAATTCCCAAATTGTTAGATTTATAGAGTTATCCAAAAAAAAATTAAAAAATTAAACTATTATTTCAATGACTTACAAATGTAAAACTATGTAAATTTACATGGTGTGAAACGCACGTTCGCTAGATTTTGCGCGCAAGTTAAATGGCTGTGTTTACTAGATTTGAAGCTTTTGCACATATATTTTCGTTGCGATTTTTTACGGTCCCTATAACGGAATTGTACCTATCTTGTTATGCAATATGATTCAGAATGGTAGTTTAAGGCAATATGCAACTAGTAGTTACTGGTGGCTGATAGTTTGGCATGTCTTATATGAAGCATATTCCTTCACTGTTTCGGAATCAACTTTAAACTCGGTGCAAATATGTGTATAATAAACAAATGAATGAAATCATTAGAGCTTAGTTCCAGTTTGAATATTTGTCATATTTAATAGTCTAATAGTCAGGTGTATTAGATTTAACAGTTCAGTTAATCAATTGGTTGTGTATTTGTGTATCAAAATTGCTATAAAATATTAAGTTAATTGTGTATGTTATAAAGTTTGTGTTATGTTCTTTTGTTAAACTTCATAAAATAAAATAATTTAAAATAAAAGTAAGCCCATCAAGTTAATATTTTTCTTACAAAATTTAGTCTTGAAAATTCACATTATTATTTATTCTTAGTTTTTGTGTTTTTTATTTTGAGCATAATCTCATAATATGTTAAATATATTAAGTATATTCATTTAAATAAATAATATTGTTTTAAATTGATTGGCTTAAAGAAATAGCACAGACTTTTAGAAAACATGATCTTCGTTATCTAAATTTATTTAAAAGTTGTGAGAAAGCACAATAAATGTTTTCTGATTTTTGTCACATAAGAAGATATAACTGAGAATGAATTTCTTTAAAATGAAGTGTTACAAAGCTATTTACTATTGAAGTGTAATATTATTGAGTAGCGAAAGCAAAATTATATTTTGTTAAATGTTACAGCCATACGGTTAGATGAGGTTTTCCCCCTCATATATACAGTATTTCTGTGTTAAAATGTTGTGCAATAAAATGATCTAAGGGACAGTTAAAAAAGTTTCAGAATTTTGTCTTTAGAAACCAAGAGTTTTATAAATTTAATATTTATATTTTTGTGTACTTCCCAATTTTTTAATCTCGTATTTTGTGTTTTAGAGTTACCGTGCTTCAAAGTTACACTGGTCAGACAGTACCCTGCCAGTTTTATTAGAGCTTGGCCCTGCATCAATAGAGCAGAAAGATGTCACAAGTGGCAGTGTAATTACAGCATATGATTATAAAGACATTGAAAAACTTGTTCTTGTGTCTGACAGAGAGGGTGGTTTTGTTATTGTATGTAGTGAATTTGGTCGGCAAGTAAGTGTTACTGTAAACTAACCTATATAAATGGGATTCTGTATTTGAGCAGAATTTATGATGTATGTTTTCAGAAATATCTTTAAAAAATTTCTTAACTAAAAAATTTAGTTTACCTTCTGAATCATATTTGAATATTTCAGGAAATTAGATTAAGCAATGTTATAGAATGCATGCATTATTTTTGCATGTCGTTAAACTTCTTTCTTTCTTTCTTTTTTTTTCTTTTTTTTTTTCTTTTTTTTTTTTTAGTACATCACTCACAGTAACTTTTGGAGCAACTCTAAAATTCTGAATGTTAATATTTATTTTTTCTAGTTGTAATAACCATATTTAATTGCATTCTTTTTCTCTTCTTTTTCTTCAATATGAGTGCTTGGCTCTAAATATTTTTATTTTCATAATGGTTATATTGTATAGCACTGATGTTACATAATAGTTTTTTAAAAAAAAGACTCAAATAAAAATATATATCATTCGTTACTGTCAATGAACCATTGAAAGGTCCTCATTTGTGAATGTTGCCCACCTTTCCCATCCTTGCTTCTTGCAGGGCTGGTTGTACATTAGTAATTGCAGCAGCTGTAACTTTCTGTTAATGTTTGGTTTATAAATATATATTCATATGTATGTTTAAATGAGAGGCAAAGATTTACAATATAATTTCTAAATGTGAATGTTTAGCATATTCCTTTCTTTTATTTATTAGTTTTGTTAACTCCATATTATGTATATTTTAGCACTTTTACATATGTGATAAAAGAGATGAGATAATGAAGAAAATTGTTGAAAGTGCATCTAATAATATAGGTGTTTGTATAAAAATTGATAAAGATTCTACAACTACTCAGAAGTTTTGGGAGGAAAGGTTAGGTAAATTTAGGTTAGTAAGTTTTCTTTCTTGTAATGGTTTTGCTCTGTCTTTTAATTTAATTTGTGTTAAGTAATAAGGAATTACTTCTGATCTTTAGAATTCTATCATCTGTATGTCACTTTTAAATTATTTGTACTTTAAGTTTTAAATAACAAAGTGTAGTTAGATGATTTAATCCTTTGTTTGGAGGAAGGGATTTGTTGTTAGTTTTCTGTGAATTCTTCTGTACTTTTAAAAATTCGGTTCTTAAAAAACTGCTGGATGCTAGCTTCTTTAGCTTAGTGTAAATTATAAAAGAAAATTAATGATACATGCTGAATTTATTTGTTCATATTTTGTTCAAAGCTTCATGTGTTCTATTTGTATTTGCGGATGTTCAGGTAATTTTTTGTCATATATAACTTAGGATGCTATTTTTTTAGACTTTGCAGTTTTTCAGTTCTCTATAGGCTTGCAATCAAGCATAATTGTAAAGTAAATATAATTATGTCAAGCATAACTGTAAGAGCAAGTTATTGTTAATGCAATAATTGTTAACGCACTGTTATTGTTAATGCAATAAATAGTTAACTAAATTAATGAAAAGTGTCAGAAATTTTCTTCAGCATTAATAATTTTTATAGCTATTGAAATTTTTTATCTATTGCTTGGTATAATTTTGGGACATTTTATTAGTAATGAATAACAATAAAAATGCACTTTTGTCTGTAAATCTTATAGTATAAGCTTGCTTAATTTATCCTGCAAGAATTCATTAAGATAGGTTTGCTATAACAAATAAGTTCAAACTTGATAGAAATATGCTTTTTTCCTGGACAACCAACTTTTACAAATTTTCAAGCCTTAAGATAGAAGGTAAATTGAATGATTGAAAGATTATTTTGTGGGGTCAGTAATGAGAGGCTTTGTGTTAAAAGCGGCCTTCAAGTCATTAATTCATTAAAAAATAGTGAACATATACTATATCTTAAATGTGATGGTAAGTAGGGCCCCTCACTTAATGAAATATATTTAAGTTTTGATATTGTTAGAACTTATCAGATTGAGTATTAGTAAGATTGCATATCATACTTCTATATTACTTTACTGAAGTTGCAAAACAGAGGATGTAACATTATACAGTTTATTGATTGAACTAGTCACTGAATAAATTTTTAGGTATCTCTTTACTAGCTATGTTCTTTAGTTATGTTAGAAGCTTGTTTTTTTATCAGTTAGCAAATGATATCTTGAAACTACAAAAAACCAGTATTTTGCTTTCACTATGAACACAGTATGATAAAATTTGTTTGGATTATTTATAAAATAGTTAAGCTTACATATATGATAAAAAATAACACAGATCTGTATTTTATTGTAACAAATCACTTATGTCAAGGACTGGTAAATCTCTCATTACAGGCTATTGTTTAAAAGATATAATAAATTATTTTGATGTCATCTAAACACAATGCATTAAATTTATTAAAGCAATATGAGAAGAGTTGTTAAAGCATTAAGTTTATTAAAGCAATATTATTAACCTTTTAACTGTCATGCCCGAAATAATCTCAGGCACAGCACTGGTATTCCAAAATGTCATGCCCGAATATTACTCTGGCTAATTTTTTTTTTTTTTTTTTTTTTTTTGTTTTTTGAGTGCATCATATTGTTATACGTGAATATATATCGTGAGAAGCGTATTTCGGCTTCAATTCAACAGATGGCAGCATTTGACTGAAGGTTTCAAAGGATAGAGGATAAAGTTCAAAGTGCACAGCATTTTTTAAAAATTTTTAGATAATTAATTAGAATAAAAAAATTGACAATTTATACACCCAAATCATTAAAATAACTTGACAATTAAAAGGTTAAAGTAATTAGAGGAATAAATTATTCAGTCAACCCAATATTGATTCAGGAGCCTTGGTTTGCTTTTGGATGACCTGTGCTGATTCAAGAGGTGCATTAGCTTTTTGGGTATGTGATTCCAATGTATGGTTTCATTGGCTGTAGTAAGCTAAGGCATCAGCAGCTTGTTTACAGTCATTCTCAATGTCACTTCCATTGGCTAAGTTTCTGAAAGTTTAAGGAACGTTGCGGCGCGCAATGAACTGGAAGTTGATCTGTCAGCACTATCCTTCAGAGCAGATGTTTTTATTTTATTCGGCTTATAATTCCTTACTAAATGTAGTATTTCATCTCGATGTGCTCCGTCTTTGATATGATTTAAATCAAAATCCTCGTCATTATAAATATCACGAATACACATCAAATAGTTTTCTGGTTGCAATTTTCTAATATCGACTGTGCATAATGTATGCTTTACGCATGCATGCGTTGAAAGAAATGTTTAATAAAGTAAATAAATAAAAATATTAAGCTTTTTTGTAAAAAGGAAGTATTGTAGTCGCGAAAAGTTTCAGGCTGCATATTTCAACTAAAATATCCATTTTGACCGCTATCGAATGCAATTTAACGGTGTTTTTACATGATAATGTACATAAGGACAGAATAAAATACTCTTTTCCTTCAAAAAAATTATAAAACTGCTTTAAAATTAATTCTGAAGAGAATTTTTCGTGGTGTCTGTACGAACGTATCTCGCATAACTCAAAAACGAGTAGCCTCAGGACGTTGAAATTTTGTATATAGGACTGCTATAACATGTAGATGTGCACCTCGTATTTTGGTTGCAATCGGCCGCACCAAACGTATATAAATATATTTATATATATATCCACTCTGTTACCCGGCTCAGTGATCTCAGTTTCTTTACTCTTATATGTTTGTAAATTGTGCATTTTTTGCTTTTAAAAATGATTGTATTATGTTGTTTTTATCTTCCGGTTTAAGGTTTTTATGCCTTTACTAAATCTGTATGCAAATATTTTTAGAATTATCAACAATTTTAAAGTTGTCTTAAGTGCCGGTTAAGCCTAAATTTTAAATAACATGGCGGCCATTGATGTCTTTATGATTTGAAACACCAGATACTAGTGGCTTTGTTTGCCAATCTAGAGAAACTTAATCTTCGCAACAACAAAGATAACACATTCATTTATTATTGCCAATTAAATCATGCTTTATTCTTTCTGGAATTTTTTCGAGGAAATAAGTGTTTAAGATTTACTTCGTAATTTTTAATATAGATATTTTGAGTTTTTATGTATTTTTGCCTTCTCGTGAAGTGAGAAATGAATTAATTAAATGAGAAATACTCAATTATCTGTGAAAAACTGTTTCTTTTTTGTTTTGTTTGCTTAATTTCTTTTATACATCATTCTAGCTTTATTATAGTATTTGAAAAGAACATATGGCAACGATTAGATATTTCTATTCTTTAAATGATATAAATTTTGTGCATTATGAGTTATAATATGAACGGAATATATAAGTTAACTGTTATATAATTATTGGATTATATAACAGTTAACTTAGTTTCCGTTATGTGATTATTATATGAGTTAACTGTTATATAAATATTAATACTGTTAAGTGAATCTAGCGCCAGAGTGTCGCTATGGTAAACAAATACTAGAGTGAATTTTAAAGAATGCATTTATTCTATTGTGGTTTATGCGCTGTTGGCGAAGTAGATTTAATTCAATCCAATAAGTTTAAATGAAATTCAAGAAAAAATGCGTATAATTTAATATTCCGTACAAGGAAGTCATGTGGTGTACACATCAGATTTTTTTCTGTAAATTTTGATATCCTTTAGATCATAATGGCTCTTTATTTCATAAATTACGGTTCAATTTTATAATTTCTGCATGCCATCTTACCAGATTTAAACTGATGATCTATAATCCGGAAAAACCGATAATCTGAGTCTGGATTAAGGACTTATGACTGTATAAGTATTGCATTGAGCTGTTAAATATTTGCATAGTCGCCTGTAGTAATGGCAACCGCCGGCAATAAAAGGAGGTGCTTTCCTTAGTGGCACCGCAGTTCCTTTTAGTTCGAGCCAGAAGAGACCTGCCCGGGGAGAAGCCAGGGGATGAGAGATTCCGGTTTCCGCCCTGTTCCGGTTCCCGTCTTGTTGCGGATCCAGTCCTGTTCCGGTTCCCGTCTTGTTCCAGTCCAGTTCCGGTCCTGATCCAGTCCTATTCCAGTTCCAGCCTGGCCGTTTAAGTCCAAAACACGTAGGAGCGGATGTCTGAATTCAGCGAAATGGAGATATACGCCGAAAGGGCTAGATGGATTCTGTCTTTTAAGGGAAAGTGTTCTTCACCGTGCCGGCATAGCTGTTACTTTAAAGCACTTTGAAGTTTTCCACCCAAGATGTTAAGTTTTTGTTTGTGATGTTAAGTTTTCATCAGTGTTGAAGTTCCAGTTAAATAAACCTTTAAGTTTTAGACAAGGTTTTTGTGTTCTTCAGAAAATTTTAGATTCGAAGTCAGATATAGCACATAGGATTATCATCGAAAAATCAACATTTGGCATCAAGCGACAGGATATTGTCTGCAAGGTAAGCGACTTTTTTATTTTTGAATCATGGAAGCTTTAAAATTAGCAAGAACTCAATATAGAAGACTATTCAGTAAAGCTTGTAATGAATTTGACAATGAAGAAAAACTAAATTTAATCAGGAAGAAAAAATTAATTAAAATAAAAGTTATTGCCGAGAAAGCTAAAGTTTTGTTTGATACTGAAATGAAAATACGAGAATTAATGTTTAAAGAAATTACAGATGAGACTTTACTTATTAAGGAAATAGATGAATCTGAATTATATTTTGATAGGTGGAGACTTCTGGAAAGTAAAGTAAAAGATCTCACTTCTGGAACCCCGAATGTAACTTTAATTGATCCGTCCTTTGTTCAGAATAAAATGTTACATTATCCGAAGATTAAATTGCCTATCTTTGACGGCAACGTGAAGAAATGGCTAGGATTTTGGGGGGCAATTCCAAAAGATTGATAAAGATCCTACATTAGATAATAATGATAAATTTGCTTATTTAGCACAGGCTATGGAGAAGAATTCTCCTGCAGAGGAAATAGTTAAAAGCTTTCCGCCAA